CATGACAAAATGAACGAGGGAAGACCAAGTTGGACTAGAGGGGCTCTGGTCCCAAAGACTTGGAATCCAAAGGCTCTGGTCTATAGGACCAGAGGCTCTGGTTGGGAAGGGGTACTTAGTGAAAAACACTAAGTACCTTCTTTGGACAATAGGGGCTCTGGTTCCAAAGAGTGAATAATTTTGGCCAAATATAAACAAGTAATTCCAATTGTCCAGAGGCTCTGGTCTTTAGAACCAGAGGTTCTGGTTTAGAGTACTTGGTTATGAGGGCCATTCGAATATATCACTTTTGGCCTAACCTTAGTATATTGAGAATCTCTTATTTGAAAAGATGATTTGCTTTGAGTGGTGAGATTCAACATACTCATCTTGCTGACAAGAAACATAAATCTTTCTCATCTAATTCTTTTGTAAAAAGGTTAGCAACTTGAATCTCTGTAGGAACAAAATACATCTGTATTGTCCCTTTTTGTACATGATCTTTAAGAAAATGATACCTGACATCAATGTGCATGGCCTTGAAGTGCTGCACATGATTTGCAAAGATGGCTATGGCACTTTTGGAGTCACAGAGGATAGGGATATTTTCATATTAAAACCCATAATCCTTCAGCTGGGTTTTCATCCAGAGCACTTGTGAACAACAACTAGCAGCAACAACATATTTTGCTTCTGTTGTAGATGTTGAGACACAGTTCTTTTTTCTGGATGTCCAACTCACAAGCTTGTCCCCCAAAAGTTGGCAGCTTTCATACGTACTCTTTGTATCAAGCTTGCAACCTGCATGATATTCATCTGTATAGGCTATTAGATCAAAGCCACATTTCTTTCGATACTAGAGTCCTAATGAAACGGTGCCATTAAGGTATCTAAAGATCCTCTTGACTGTAAAGAGATGAGATTCTTTAGGATTAGCTAGATATCGTGCATAAAGATAAGTAGGAAACATAATATCTGGCCTACTAGATGTTGGATACATGAGTGATCCAATCATGCCTCTGTAGGTTGTTACATCTACAGCTTTTCCTGATGGATTAGAAAACAACTTAGCTCCTGTAGCCATGGGAGTTCTCATCGATGATGAATTTGAAAGGTTGTATTTCTTTAGAAGGTCAGTCACATATTTGGACTGATTGATGAAAATTCCTTCTAAAATTTGTTTTAATTGAAGACCAAGGAAGAAACTTAGTTCTCCCATCATACTCATCTCAAATTTGCTTTTCATTAATTCTGAGAATTTTCACAAAATTTGGAGTTAGTAGAACCAAATATGATGTCGTCCACGTATATTTGGACAAGTACAATATCACCTTTATGCTTTATAAGAAAAAGGGTTGTGCCGATGGTACCTTTTTCGAATCCATTGGCTATGAGAAAGGTATAGAGTGTTTCATACCAGACCCTGGGTGCTTGCTTGAGCCCATAGGGATCTTTGTCCAGAAAATATACATAATTTGGATGCTTAGGATTTTTGAACCCATGAGGCTGTTGCACAGACTTCCTCTTGGAGTTTGCCATTGAGGAAAGCAGACTTGACGTCCATCTGATAGACCTTGAAACCTTTGTGCGCTACATAGGCGAGGAATATTCTGATAGCTTCAAGCCTAACAACGGGAGCAAGGGTTTCATCGTAGTCTATCCCTTCTTCTTGGCAGTAGCCCTTGGTAACAAGCCTGGCTTTGTTCCGTATAACAATGCCATCTCCATCCTTCTTGTTTCTGAAGACCCATTTGGTCCCAATAGCCGTTTTTCCTTTTGGTAGAGACATGAGGGACCAAACTTTGTTCCGCTCAAACTATAGTTGCTCCTCTTGTATGGCGTATATCCAGTCTGGATCTTGTAGGGCTTCAAAAAATTTCTTCTGTTCAATCATGCTTAGAAACTTTGCGAAGAGGCATTCATTGGCAGTTGCAGATCTCGTCTTGATACCGGATGATGGATCACGAATAATCTGGTGATAAGGATGATCTTTTGTCCACTTTGTGCAACATTGGGGTTCTGGAGAAACAGGATGCAGTTCTTCATTGACTGATGGAACTGCTTGCTCCCCCAAAAAGAGATCATCTACAGAGTGATGCTCTGGTTCTGAAGACATAGAAGAAGTAGATGGTGAAGTAACATGAGTTTCAGAAAGAGTTGTACCTTCAGCATTGGAGATCTCATGTATTTCATCGGCTCTGGAAGGTAGTTTTTCATTGCGCGCTTGTCCAGAGACTGCTTCTTTTTCAAAGAGGTCTTCAAATAATTGAGCCAATTCCGATTCATTAGGTTTGCATAGAGATTAATCAGAGGCTCCTTTTGTTAGCCCAAGTTCTGAACTACTATGTCTAGAAGTCATCGGTGATGAATTATCAAAGTACACATTGATGCTTTCTATGATGATCTTTGTCCTTCTGATGAATATTCTGTAGGCCTTCCCAGGAATATCCCTTCATCATCCTTCTTATCAAATTTGCCAAGATACTCCCTGTCGTTGAGTACAAAGTATTTGCACCCAACGACATGGAAATATTTGACATTTGGACGTCGTTGGTTGATAAGTTCATACGGGGTCTTTTGCTGCCTCTTGTTGATGATAGAACGATTCTGGGTGAAGCAAGCAGTAGAGATTGCTTCAGCCCAGAAGGAAATGGGTAGCTTAGATGAAACAAGCATGGTCCTAAATGCTTCTACAAGGATTATGTTCCTTCGCTCAACAACTCCATTTTGTTGTGGAGTTCTGGCTGCTGAAAAGTTTTGAGAAACACCTTTACTAATGAGATATTCTTGAATTTTCGTATTCTTGAATTATGTTTCATTTTCGCTTCTAACTTTGATAAGTTTGCGTGTAGAATTACTTGGAGCCTTTTCATCACAGCGATGGGGAGGTCTGGAACGTCTGAGTTCTTCTTGATGAATTCAACCCATGTATATCTTGAGTATTCATCAACGAATACGAGAAACTACTTCTTCCTAGAGAGGCTTTGTGTAGAGATTGGCCCACAGAGGTCGATGTGGAGCACGAAGTTTCTGACTTGGATTTGTGAGAATCCCGTTTTAACTTCCCCATCTCATAAGTCGAGCAAAGGTGGTCTTTTTCGAAATGGAGATCAGGAATCCCCTTGACCCACATCTGTTTGGCTAACTTCTTCAAGAGATCAAAATTCAGATGAGAGAATTTTTGATGCCATAGCCAATTTTCTTCACTCCTATGGGAGATGTTGGGATTGTAATTTACAGTTAAATTGTATTCGTCTTGAAAGGTTTATAATTGTATTTTTAGAAGGTTTGACATTTTATGTCATGTTTGACTTTGACTTGTGCTTTTATAGTTTGACCTATATAAGTATTGTTAGTGTGAGAATTAGAGAGGAGCTCATTTATAATATCTACGTATACTTGAGAGAAATATACTTGTGTTGACTATTTGACTTTTCCTCTCTAAGTGTTCTTATTGTTCATTTATGAAGATTGCCATTGTTCTTCAAGTTTATGAAGATTGATCATTAAAGTGGGACACCCAATTGGTATTAGAGTTGGAATGCAGTGAAATCATTTGATGAAATCATCAATTTTGTAGAAATTCTGGAAAATCATAATCTGTTTTTCATATTCTTATTTTGTTCTTGAAAGTGTTCTTCATTTTTTTTCTTTATTTTTTTTCTTTATTTTTTTTCTTTATTTTTTTCTTCATATTTTTTTTCTTCATATTTTTTTCACAAATCTTTCATTTTTTGCTGATTTGATGTTAAAATGATGATCAATATGTGCGTATTTGATTCGTGAATGTTTGTTATTCACAAATTTTTGTGAATTGATCATTCATTTGAAAGATCTAATAAGATTAGTTATTTTTTTGAAAAATTTGTGTTCTTGAAAAATTCATAAAAATCTGATTTTTGATCCATTTTGTAGTGAAAAAGTTGTTTTTGTGTTTTTGATCGGTTTAGTCTTAACCGGATTCTATACTTAGTCATTTTTTTACATGATATTTTAACTGGTTTTCAAGTCTAAATTGTTCAAAAGTGCAGTTGGATTCAGTCTTAATCGCTTATAGGCTTATTCGATTTCATGACTTAGCCAAAATCTGTCTAGATCGCTCATAAGGCCACCCGGTTTAGGCCTTATCCGCTCATCCCTTTATCCGTATTTTGCTACCTCGTGCATCAAGCTATCCGGTTTTGGTCATCCTCGCTCAACAAGGTAACCGTATTAGGYRCTTCCTCGATCACAGCCCATCCGGATTCRASGTACATCGCTCAACAGCCCATCCGRATTAGGCATTCCTCGSACACTGCCTTAGCCRGACWTGGCTACATCGCTCATCAAGTYACCCRGGTTCAAGGCTTCCTCGGTCAACAAGGCTTCTAATTTACAGCTTCAAGCAGACTTTAGTTTCCTCAGCCATCTCTTAGCCGGATATTGGCATCACCACAGACACACCTTCAGCCGAGCTCAAGCTTCCTCGGACACAACATTGTCCAGACTTGAGCTTCCTCAAAGTCATCGCTCGCATATCTTCCTCGCACTCAATTCTAGCCTAATACGGACACAGCTCTGTCCGGATTTGAGGTTTCTTGGCCAAAGGACTTAGTCATTTTTCAAGCTTGTCCGGATTTGTTTCCATACTTAGCCAATTTTCAAACTTTGTGCGGATTTGGCTTCCTCTCTCAACAAGTCATTCGATTTTGAGCATTCTTAGTCAAAATTTGTCATTTTCAAAACCCGTTTTGTCTAGATTTTATATTTTTTCATTTTGATCAAATTTTTTATCTGTATTTCACTTTGCTTATCTGAATTTCACCAAATTACTGATATTTGAGCAGTTTTTGACTGTTTTGATTGTTTTGACTGATTTTCACTGTTTTACTATTTTTTTTTTCAAATCTGGTCAGTTTTTGGGTTTTTTGAGAATTTTTTCTATAATGATTTTATCTGAGTGACATCTTTGAATTGTGATTTCTTTTTTCGATTTCAAATAGTACATAAATTCTATTTCTGATCAATTTTCAAATTTTTAAATGGCAGCATCTTACGAGAAAGAATACAGGGAACTCAAAGAGAAATATGATAAACTGACTTTAGAGGATAAGAAGAACATATCTTGGGCTATACGTCTATCATATTATAATGAAAGAAAGGAGGAAGAGAAGAAGGTTTTACAAGAAAAACTGGACAAATTCATGAATAATGTTTCTAATTCACTGGAAAGTTTAATACTGAACAAACAGATTGAGGAATTAACTGATAAATTACACGAAGCTGAGAAGAGGGAATTGAGTGATGAAAAAGTTTGTGAATTGGAGAAAAGTCTGTATGAGTATAAAGAGAAATATGTGAATATGTTTCGTGAAAATTTTCTTAACGAGGATCTTGTTAAAGATTTAAGAAGAGAGAATAAAGAAATCAGAGAACGTATTGAAGAAGATTTTATGTATAAGGTTAATAAACTTGAGATAACTTTGGATTATGAAAGGAAAGAGTTAGATGACGAAATAAGAAGTTCAAACAAGATAAAACAAGATTTAGTCAATAAACTTCGTAAAGCTGAGTCTGAACTAAATGCTGTAAGGAATTCTTCAGAAAAGAAAAATAAAGAGGCTGAAGAGCTCACGGATAAACTTCATAAATCTGAGAGTGAATTGATTGAGTTAAAGAAATTACTGGAACATGAGAAAGATAAAATTTTAGAAGCTGAGAAAAATTTGGATGCTGAAAAGAAAGTTTTTGAGAAAGAGAAGAAGAGGATGATTGAAGTTGAGAAAATATTTGGTACTGAACGAATATATCTTGAAACAAGATTAATTCTTCGGAGCTGAATGCCAAAATGCTTTTAAAGCAAATATCTAATTTTGAACAACTTATGATCTTGGAACGTGCCAAGTTTGATAAAGAAAAGAAAGAGGTTTAAAGAAGAATGTCTGAGCAAGAATCTGGAATTGGCTGACAGCATTGCTCAAAAGCAGAAAACACTGCATGAAGAAAAGAAAATGTTTGCTCTTGAAAAGAGAAACACTGCTAAGAAGAATGTTATAATTGCCAAAGAGCTTACATAGAAAAAGAAATGGCTTGAGATTGCTTCTGAGAATGAGAAGGGTAACTCAGATGAAGAGAGAAAGGAGTTTGAGAAAGAAAGGAAAGTGTTTGACAAGCTAAATAAAGAGTTAGAAGGTAAGTTTCTGGATACTTCAAAGAAATTGTCTGATCTAAAGACAAAACTTGTAACTGAATTGAACATGAGAATTGAACTTAAAAAGAAATATGATTTAGTTGCTGAAGAGAGAGACCATTTATTAAATAGAGTAAAAGACTTTCAAGTGTTAAAAGCTCAACTAGTTCTCAATCTCAGTGTAAAACTAGCTTTTATGATTGTTCTAGTGTAAAATCTAACAGTTATACAAGCAACCCTAAATTAACTGTTTCTAAGAACAATTCTCATTTTTCAAATCAGTATTATCAAGAGTATGTCATTGGATCACCCAATTATTATTCAAAAGTTAAAAATGTTTGGGTTAATAAAGTTGATTATGTTTTGTCTTATAAATCTGTTGTTACTAACCTTATTCTTCCTTGCATTGTGAGATCCACTAATGATCTGATCAATCTTAGCAAGAGGAGAATAATGCGCTCAACATGCAGAACCACTGATTTTGTCAATAGGAAAAGGTATAACAGATGGTATGAGGACAACAACTATCAGAAAAGCTGGAATAGTTATAACAGGTATGACAACAATTGGTATGGATCTTATTGTATATCTAATCAACCTGTTAAAAGTCCTAAAAAAGACTTCTAATAGGAATAGATGGTTTGGCAGTTACAATATTCCCCAGCCCGATTCTAACAAAGTAGGACCCAAGTTCGTCTGTGTACCAAAATCTGTTTGATCTGTTTTGTAGGTGTGTCATTACTGTGCTGATCAGAAAATCATTTGTATGATACACAAATGCAGGGGGAGTTTGTATTCTGTCTGAATGTGGTTTTTGAACACAACAGTTCAGGACTAGTGGTGAAATGTATATGGTTTCTGAATACAACAGTTTAGGACCCGCGCGGAAATGATTATGGCTTCTGTACAACTCAGTTCAGAACCCGAGCTAAAATGTTTCATTTTTAGTTTTTGAGCTGAAATGAAATACTATTTACATCTATCTTCTAGGGGGAGTCTCTAGAAATGTGTAATAAATGTTTTTGGAAATTTCTGAAACGAGTATCTTTTCTGAGCAGGTATTTCTTGAGATTTTACTTGTGTAATTTCTCATCGTACATAATTACAATACCTGTTTCAGCTATTCTTCAAACGTTATTATCACGTCTCTTATATGAAAATCATTTTCGGTGATAATACACTCGTTTGTATTCAAAGTTGGTTTCTATTTTTTTTTTACTTTGATTGATTCAAATTCATTATTCTTTGATATTATGAATTTGTAAACTTGTACTTCCAGATCTTCATTCATTTCTCCCACATACTCTGAATAACTGATTTTGATACATCACTCCTTGCTTGTTGATTGTGCTTAAATACTATTATTTTCTTGATCAATTTTATCTGATCATTTGTGCTTCATAGCAATAATATTTTGATCAACCATTTGTGATCATTTAAACATATTGTTATATTTAGGATGGACTGAGTGCTTTACATAAATACCGCAATGGAACGTCAGAAGCGACAGACCTACCCATGAGGACAACCATATCTGAGTGAGCTTAAATACAAAATGGGTTTGTGTGCAGAGCATAAAATGAAAATGAGAGGGGTAGTTGTTATGAGCCAAACGAATTGATGAGAGTTGTGTTAGGATTAAAAGATCAGAAGAATCCTGTTCTAACCCCTAAAATCCGGGCAAACCACGAAATCTATTAGTTCTCAATTCTTTCAAGACTAATATTGAAAAAGGCAAAGCTCAGGCCAATTCTTGTCACAATCCCACCAACTACTCATTTACCTCTTAACAGATAAATGTTTCAATAACACTTCGGGCACACAGCTCACAATCTATCATTTCCTCATTCAGAGAAAATTGATATTTAAAAGGAAGGATATATGTCCCCTTCAAGTCTTTTTGATCACGAATTGAATCTGACAATTTTGTGTATTCCACATGATTTATCTTTTTGAGTCTAAATTGAAGCATATGTTGTTTTATCTTTCTACACTACATAGATTTTGCAATTTATATATTATTTTGCCGTAACATTCATAGATATACTTTTTATAAGATATCAATTATTGAATGGAAGTCCTGGTGAGATGAACCGAAAAAAGTCTCATATATAAAGTACATTTGTTGTACTGAATGTAACACCCCATACCACACATTGCATGTAACACATATTTCATACAAAAGAAATACATGTTTATATACCATTCAGGTCCCTTAGTACAAGAATCTATCATTACAGAATACAAGGTCCAAAAATTCAAATACATTTCTTGTACTAATCAACGTTCATCAATCAAAACTGTACATCAAAGACAGTTCTTCATGCAGAAATGCATATAGGAAAATATCACATTTTCCCCTTTCCCTTATTGTCCGTACCTCCTACAAAACATAGTTAAAATCACAAAACGAGGGTTAGACCGAAAGGTCTAGTGAGTTACCCTATTTATGTTATTGCAGGGTGGAAATCACCAAAATCTCTATGAAAAACAACTTTTCATATATATAACTAATATATGAACAAATAGGAACATAATACCAGTACCTTTCCACTTTTTAATCTCAAGTATTCAGATTATTCAAATAACATACCTTTGAACCAACCAGGTTCATATAATGCCACTTTTAAACCTTTTCTAATCAAACAAGGTTTATTTAAAGTTTCAGGCCAAACCTGTTATTTTCTCCTCAATAACATCCAGACTATGATTTCTAATAAGAACCTTGATCTGATGTGACATTCCGTCGCTTCTGAGCTTCAGGTTAGTACCTTATTATAGATCCTATATTTAGAATTATATTTTACTAGGATCTGGTCATGGTGATTAGAGTTCATCTGGCTTAGTTCCCAAGTTTAGTCTGGAAGATCACGCCTCAGCGGGTAACCGATAAAGTTAACTTGTGTAATGCCAAAGATTTTAGAAATGCTCCAAATAAAATAAAGTTGATATTATAAACTTTTAAATTAAAATAATAAAAAAATYCCATTTGAATGTCCAAATAATTTATCAAAAGGTGGAGTTTTGGAATCAATAGTGTCATTTTATTAATGTTTGGGTAAATTATATTGTGGGTTATAAATTTAAGTGGGTTTATTCTTATTTAAGAAAAATAAAAGTTTTATTGGGTTTGGGCCTTTAGAGGCCAACCCATTTCCTTCTTTAAAATCCTCATATAAATACCCCACATCCTTTGAAAACTCTCATTTCCAAATTATCTTCAGCTTAAAACTTTTCATCTCTCTAATCTCTCTCTAAAATCAACTACCTTCCAGCCGATTCCATCATCAAGCAAGTCTTTAGGAATTCTGTCAATCTTGAAGAACATTCAAGAATATAAGAAAAAGGTATGATACTAGCTATGTTACCTATGTTTTCTTAGTCTAATCATGTGGAATTTGGACCACCGTTGAAGTAGTACTAATACGAACTGTGGGACCTAAGTAAGTGTACAGGCTTCTTATGGTTGTTCGTAAAATAATGGGGCACATTGGTCAGGTAAGGCTCAGTAGCGTCTCAAGTTAAGTATCGTGGTAGATTTACATTTATTAAGTGCAAAAGTTTATGTATAAGTTTGCAAATAAATGATTTCTACATTGTATTATTTTGTGCATATGAAAACCCATGAGCTCACCAACTCTTTGTAGTTGACGTTGTTTTATGTTCCATGCTTTTCAGGTAATAAGTAAGAAATGAACTGTTTTGGGAGCATACTTGTGCAAGACCGATTAAGTTCGCATTTGAAGTTTTTGTAAAAGAAGTACACTATCCCGTTTTGGTTATTGGTGTTAAACTTGATTTAATTTGTAAAATTGAAAGGTGTTATTGATTAACTGCTGCTGTGACTCGTTTACCTGTTACATCTCGTGTTTCCGCTTTAGCTGGGTGTGACATCTGAAATCTTTATATCACAAAGAAATAAAGATTCCAGACCACGGTAGTCTTAAGAGATATAATAGAAAGAGTTATATCATACAACACACATACAAATGCCA